TTTTTTTTTTTATTTTCCAGGGCGCTACGGGCGCCGTCTGAACGTGTGGGACTGGAGCAGCCACCGTTACATTCAGGCTCTGGACGTGGGCGAGGATTCGGCCCCGCTGGAAATTCGATTCCTGCACGACCCCGACGCCGCCCAGGGCTTCGTGGGCTGCACCCTGAGCAGCGCCGTGCACCGCTTCTACAAAACACAGGTGATCCCTTTTTTTGGGCAGTTTGGGGTCGATTTTAACAGATTTGGGATTTTCGGGAATATTCACTTTGGTAGGGTCGACAGGAACCCGACTGTGAGGAGGGCAGGGAGCCAAAAAAGGTGGAAAACCAAACAGGATTTTGGCTGTTTCCCTTCCCTGAATGCCAAAATCCATTCCTGAGTCTCAAAATCCATTCCTGAACCCCAAAATCCCTTCCCTGAAACCCAAAATCGTCCCAAAATCCCTTCCCTGAACCCCAAAATCCCTTCCCTGAACCCCAAAATTCATTCCTGAACTGCAAAATCCCTTCCCTGAGTCCCCAAAATCCATTCCTGAGTCCCAAAATCCCTTCCCTGAATCCCAAAATCTGTCCCTGAATCCCCAAATCCCTTCCCTGAATCCCAGAATCCCTTCCCTGAATGCCAAACTCTCAATTCTTGTGGATCCGGATCCAGAAAAGGTTGAAAAATGTCCACATCTCCTGGAAAAATCCACATTTTTGACCCCTAAACCCCTTCCCTGAACCCCAAACGCTCAATTCTTGTGGATCTGGATCTGGAGGAGGATCCTACAGGATTTGGGGTTGGGATTTGAGTTTGGGATTTGACTTGGGATTTGGGTTTAGAATTTGGGATTTGGAATGGGATTTGAGATTTGGATTTGACTTTGGGATTTGAGTTTGAGATTTGGGATTTGGGATTCGGGGCTGGGATTTGAGTTTGGGATTTGAGTTTGGATTTGGGCTTGGGATTTGGGGTGGTGGATTTGGGATTTGGGTTGGGATTTGAGTTTGAGATTTGATTTGGGATTTGGGTTTAGAATTTGGGATTTGGAGTGGGATTTAGGGTTGGGATTTGGGGCTGGGATTGGGATTTGGGTGGTGTTTGGGGTGGTGGATTTGGGGCTGGGATTCGGGATTGGGATTTGGGTTTGGGATTTGAGTTTGAGATTTGGGGTTGGGATTTGGGGATTGGGATTTGAGTTTGGGATTTGGGGCTGGGATTTGGGATTTGGGATGGTGGATTTGAGATTTGGGATTGGGATTTGGGATTTGAGTTTGGGATTTGGGGTGGTGGATTTGGGATTGGGATTTGGGTTGGGATTGGAGTTTGGGATTTGAGTTTGGATTTGGGGTTGGGATTTGGGTGGTGGATTTGGGATTTGGGGTGGTGTTTGGGGTTGGGATTTGGGTTGGGATTTGAGTTTGGATTTGGGATTGGGATTTGGGTGGTGTTTGGGGTTTTGGATCCCATCCCGATGTCCCCCTGTCCCCAGAGCGGCGCGTGGGCGGCCGAGAAGGTGATTCAGGTGCCCAACAAGAAAGTTCGGGGTTGGCTCCTCCCAGAAATGCCAGGTGGGCAAATTCCCGGGAATTTTCACGGATCTGGGAGAGGTCGGAAAATCTCCGAACCCCCTGGGAAAAAAATGTTCTTGGTTCCCCTAAAAATTCCCCCCTAAAAATTCT